AGAGGACGCAGTTCAGGGTGACCACAGCAGAGGGGAAGTGAGAAGGAAAATCCTGGAGAGGAAAGAACCACAGCTGGAGAAGTGAAATTTGGCATATAAATTCTGCCCAAATCTCTGGTGCCACCAGGCTGTGTATGCACAGGGTAGACTCGAAGAAAATAACTCAGCAGAGATTTCAGATGATGCTCAGCACAGCGGAGAGGGAGTTTGGAGTTTGTGCTTAGGTTAAGTTCACTGCCTGCTACAGCAACAGCAGCAACAATAACAACAACACCTCTCTGGAGAAAGCCAATAGGAAGCAAGAAGCCAGAGCCACTAGAACATGTTATTGACAAAGTCTGGGATATGATGCTTAGTTACCAGGAGAAACAAGAAAATGTGGCGGTTCTCAAGAAAAAAAGCATTCAAGGGAACCTTACCCTGAGATGACCCTGATACTATAATTCACAGATGATATTTTTAAAGCAGCTATTATAAATATGCTTAAGGACCTAAAGCATGCTCATAATTACATTTTATAACGCTTTATGTGCTTCTTCACCAACACACAAAGTAACAGTATCTAAAAGTGGTCTACCAACTCTCTAATTTTGAGGTAATGCTATTTCTAAATATCTGCAATAACCATAATGGGATTTGACCTGGAGATCGTCATACTAAGTGAAGTGAGCCAGAAAGAGACAGAAAAATACCATATGATATCACTTATATGTGGAATCTAAAAAAAATGACACAAATGAACTTATTTACAAAACAGAGACAGACTCACAGACATAGAAAATAAACTTATGGTTACCAGAGGGGAATGGAGGTAGGGAGGGATATATTGGGAGTTTGGGATTTTCAGATACAAAGTACTATATATAAAATAGATAAACAACAAGGTCCTACTGTAGAGCACAGTGAACTACATTCAATACCTTGTAATAGCCTATAGTAAAAAAGAATATGAAAAGGAATATATATGTATAACTGAACCACTATGATGCATACTAGAAACTAACAGAACATTGTAAACTGACTATACTTCAAAAAAAAACGTAATGGGATTTGAAAATATTTATTTCTGTTGGTGACAAAGTAACATGTACTGCCGATATTACTGTGGTTTGCTGTTCACATTCATAATGGAAGGAAATGCTAAATTTTACTTAGTTTAGTAAAAATAAATATGCATTTCCCCCATTCAAGTTTACAGATTCCTTAAGTTCTTAATGTCAGTTTTAGATCTTAAGGTCACAGATACTGTTTTTCCCCAGTAGGACCAAAAACTATGTCTGGCATATAGTGGGTGTTCAATAAATATTTCTTAAATAAATGAATTCATGTGTGTTCCAATCTAGTGGTTAAGGAATTAAAATTTGCTCTTTGGTTTTTCATATTCATTTTAATAATGAATCAATAACAAAATCTACTAGTTGATGATTGTTTGATATGTGCCAGGCACTGTTTTATAAATAGTATCTCATTCTTACAGTGACCCTGAGGTAGGTACCATTATTATTCCCATTCTACTGTTATAGATAGTGAGCCAAATAGATTTTAAGCAATCTCTTTAAGGCCACATAGCCGGCTTTAGAACTCAGACTGTTTGATCCACAGTCTCTGTCCTTAGAGGATTAAGATAAACTTACTCCAGGTGACTCAGGCTTGGAGACTGGACCTCGGTTCTAACACATCCTGCTCAGCTCTCCTTTGTTGATGAAGGCTCAGACCAGCTCTTTTTCACCCTCATCTTCTTAGTCTACCTGTAGTATGATCTGGGGAAGCTCAGCCATTCCCTCAGCATCACACAACCAACTCAAATCTAAAGACCACCAGACCTGGTTCTCTAGGACCAAATTCTCTTCTGTTTTCCAAATCCCAATTTCCATCTGCCCACTGGACATCTTTCTCTGATGTTCTTCAAGCTCCTCTACACCAATGCAAAGGTCACTTTCTCTGTGAGGACCTTCCTGACCCTGCCTAGATGGATCTGCTCACCTGGTTTTCCTGCTGCATTCTGTATACTATCCTACCACCACCCCAGTAATATTGTATCACTCCATTATTTATATTTCTGCCTCTCCTTGCCATTCTGGAGACCATTTCTAGTTTGTTCCTAAATCCTTAGGAACTTGGACATTGTCTGACACAGTAGGCTCATAGTAGATGCTTGTTGAATGGATGAATACATGAATGACTGCTATGCACCAAACCTACTACTTAACACTTCAGCTATTGTGTTTATTATGACCTATACATAACCAAGTGTGTAATGTAAAAATGTAAATGTTAAGTGTAAAATGTAAAATGTAAAAACAAAAAAATATGGTCCAAGGGACTAATAATGAATTTATAAAATAGGATATTTTAGCAAAGAAAAAGTCAGAGTAAAATGAAGCATTACATATAGGAGATCATTAACAAGAATTTCACTGAATTCTCATTAGAAACAGTGGAAGCCAGGAGATAGTGGAACAACATCTTTAAAGTTCTGAAAGGAAAAGAACTTTTCAACTCAGAACTCTATATCCAGGGAAAATATCCTTCAAGAATAAAGATGAAATAAGAACCTTTTGAGATAGATGAAAGTTAAAAGAATTCATCAACAGACCTGCACTAAAAGAAATGCTAAAGGAGGTCTTTCAATCTGAAGAAATATGAAACCTTGATCTGAGGAACACCAGAAGTGGTAAATATGTGGGTAAATATTCTCTTAATTTCTTTATAACATATATGGCTTTTTAAAGTAAAAATGTTCACAGTGTATTATAGAGTTTCTAACACATGTAGATATAATATATATGACAACTACAGCATTAAGGATGGGGTAGAGGGGAATGAATTTATGTGGTGGAAATAGTCTTACATTTATGTACAATATTAACTCTAAGTAGACAGTGAAAAGATAATCTCTAGAGAAACCACTAAAAAAAAGTGCAAAGAGGTGTAGCTAAAAATATAACATATAAATAAAATGGAATTGTAAAAAAAAGTGGTTAACCAAGACAGGAAAGGGGAACACAGGAGCAAAAATAGATGGGACAAATAATAAAAGAATAACCTAGCTCCAACTGTTTAAAAAATTACATGCAGTGTAAATGGGCTAAACACTCCAATTAAAAGGCAGAGATTATCAAAGTAGATAAATGAGCAAGGTCTTTGCTGTTCTTAAGAGATTCATTTAAATATAAAGACACAGATGTTTGATAGGAAGAGGATGCAAAATATACCGTGCAAAGAGTAAGCATAAGAAAGTGGGAAGGGCTATATTAATACTAGACAGAGTAGAGTTAAAGACAAAGAATATTACCTGAGGTAAAGGATAATAATGATGTAAGGGTCAATTAATCAGGAACACACAGAATTCATAAGCATATTTGTACCCCAAAACAGAACTTAAAATATATTAAATAAAATTTGACAGAATAAAGGGAGAAATAGACATTTCCACAATTATAATAACAGATTTTAATATCCCTGCCTCAGCAATTGATACAACTGGACAAGATATCAGTAAACATATAGAAGGTCTGTATGACATTATCAATCACTGTTACTTCATTGATATTTATAGAACACGGTACCTAACAACTGAAGAATATAGATTATTTACAAAGCCACCTTGTACATTCACCTGGGTAGATCAAATGCTGGGCCATGAAACAAGCCTCAACAAATTTAGAAAGATAGGAAATTTACATAATAAGTTATCTGAGTCCACAGTGACATTCCATTACAAAGTAATAACAAGAATATATCTCCAAATATTTGGAACTTCAACATCACACTTCTAGAAAACCCATGGGTCAAAGAAGAAAACACAAAGGAACTTAGAAAGTATTTCAAATGGAAAAATAATAAAAAATAAAATGCCAAAATGAGTGGGAGGCAGCTAAAGAAATGATTATAAGAAAATTTATTGCTTTAAATGCTTATATTAGAGAAGAAAGGCATAAAAGCAATGCCCTAAGCTTCCATCTAAAGAAGTTAGAAAAGGAAAAGCAAAGTAAACCCAAAATAAGTAGAACAAAGGAAATAATAGAGACAAGAGCAGAAATAAATGAAGTAGGAAACAAACTATGGAGAAAATTAGCAAAGTCATACATTTGTAAGAGAACAATAGAATTTATAACCCTCAGCAAGATTAATCAAGAACAAAGAGAAAGTACATTAATCATCAATATCAAGAACGAAAGAGGAATATCACTATAAATCATACAAGTATCCAAAAATAATGTGGGATTGTTATAAGCATCCTTATGCCAATAATTTTGATAACTTAGATAAAAATTTGTCAATCCTTGGAAACAAAGCAATTTATCAAAACTGACAAGAGATTAAATACAAAATATGAGTAGCCCTATTTCTTATAAATTAATTTGCTACCAAAAAAAAACTTTCCTAAAAATAAACATAATGAAAGAAAAAGCCAGACCAAGACTATTTTATGGGCGAATACTAGCAAATATTTAAGGAACAAAAGTCACCAACTTAAACAAACACTTACAGAAAATAGAGGAGCAGGGGTCAATTCCCAAATCCTTTTGTGAAGCTACGATAGACGTTACTAAACATGATAAAAACATTATGGGAAAATAATTACAGAAAAATACCTCTCATGAACAGTGTAACAAAAATACTCAACTATCAGCAAATCAAATCCAGCAATGCATAAATAAGAAAGTTTTCCTATTGCCTATTTACAGACGTGGGGCACAGTTGTTCGATGAATTGTATAGGCCACCCAGCTCTTAGGAGACTCTGTGTTCACCTGACCCAATGCAGTGGCTGCCTGGGTGGTTGAGGGCTGGCTTCACAGTGTAAAGAGGTGTGATGAGGCTCCTGGCCTGGGACTAGCCAATCTGAGTCTCTCCTAGAGATTCCAGGATTAATGAGGGCAGGATGTGAGTGCAGAGTGGCACTGGGGACCTGTTATTAGGTTCCACTACCCCCAGGACTCCTGGTTCCCAGCCCCTACATACTCCCCACCATTGGGCACAATTACTGATGGAGGCCATTTTGTTGCTGGAGGGCCAATGGGTATGCCTGTTGCTTCTGCAGGCTCCAAACCTTGCCACAGCAAGCCTTTACCAAGCAGGTCCCGTGGCAGCAACACTGACACCTCAAATGCTCTCCTGATCCGGCCATTTGTCTTGCACAGAGAGGCTGAGACCTGGCTCCCTCAACTACTTAGGGCTTCTGGGAGCATTGAGGAGCCCACAGCGGCCTCGGCACGAAGGGCCTGGGAGAACCCTGGACTGCACAGCCCTGAGGGGCATTCTTCTGACTCTCTGGCCCCAGGACTTTGAGGTGACCTTTGGAGTTCGCTCCGCAGCCCGCAGGCAGCAACCGCAGAGTCGGAGAAAGTGAGCAGGCGACCCGGGGCTTGGCTCCGGTGGGACACCCCCCTCACCCCGAATTACCGCCGGCGCCCAGGGTAGGGGCCGCATCGCTGCCCCGACAGGCAGTGGTGGGGGAGGGGGTCCTGGTCCAACGCTGGCGAGGAGGGGAGGTGGGGCTCCTGCCTTCAGGATGCAGGAGGGGAGGGCGGCTCCAGCTGTAGAGGGGCAGGGGCTGGTGGGGTAGGGGAGGGGCTCCAGACTCCGGTTTGGGGGGTGGGGTGGGAGGGGAATCTCCAGGTTGCCAGGGTCGGTGTAGGGAGCAGGGGCGCTCCAGGTCCTGCACTAGGAAAGAGGGTGGCAGGACCCCTAGCTAGGGGGTCTGGGAGGGGCGGGGAGGGCTCCTGGCGACTGCGGGGGTTGCAGATGGTGGTGAGAGGGGCTCTGGCTGCTATGGCAGGATCAGGGGCGTCGGCCAAGGCGAAAGAGGATCTTCTCGCTGCGGAGGTGAGGGGTGCACGGGTCGGGGGGCTCTGAGTCGCTGCAGTGGAGAGTGGGGAACGTGAAGTGGCGGGAGAAGGGCGCCAGGCCGCCACTGTGGGGAGCGGTGGGGCAGGCTGTCTGGTACCAATGTCCCTCTCTCCCCTCTGCAGCAGGCGCAGAGACTGCGACAGTCTGCGCTTCCCTGCCGGATCGCCGCGCGCCCTCCCCCCAGGTCCCTGCGATGGCACTGGCGGTGCTGCGGGACTGGTGCGGCTGGATGGGCGTGAACGCTCAGCGCTCTCTGCTCATCCTGGGCATCCCGGAGGACTGCAAGGACCAGGAATTCCAGGAGGCCGTGCGGGCTGCCCTGTGGCACCTGGGCAGGTACCGAGTGCTGGGCAAGGTCTTCAGAAAGGAGCTGGGGTCCAGGGTTGCCTTGGTCGAGTGTGCTGAGTATTTAAACCGAAGTTTGATTCCTCGACAAATACCAGGCACGGGAGGGGCCTGGCCTGTGGTCTTCCTGCCCCAGGCCCCCGATTCTGAGTCACAGGATAGACCCAATTTCCCTGCCCAGCCCCAGAGACCAGCATTGGTTGGCCGGGCAGGTGAGGCAGGAGCTGCAGGTGAGGCAGGAGCTGAGGGAGAGGCAGGAGCTGAGGGTGAGGCAGGAACTGAAGATGTGGCAGGGACACCAGGTGAAGAAGAGGTTGCACAGGAAGAAGAGGCTGCAGAGGA